GAGCTGGGCAGAGCAGCCCCCGGTCTTCACAGAGCTCCAGGTCTGCTGAGGGAGATGCCTGGACTTGGGACTCCCTCGGCAAAGGAAAAACCCACCTGTGACCCAGCCCGTGAGCGAGCGCTGGGCAGCCAAGGGAACTGAGCCCCTCTCCTCTCCCCGGGCCTGCCTGCCCGCACTTCCTCTTTCTGAGGCCACCAGGCCCCAGGCCTGTGCAGCTCGGGGCCTCCTGCGTGGGGCCGGAGGAAGCCAGGCTGGGGTTCCTGCCAGCGCTGCCTGGGTGAGGAAGTGGGTTCCCGTGTCTGAAAGTTGGGGGTGGGCTAGAAGTCCCCAGGCGGTGCGGTAGGGCTGGTGGCTGCTGGGTCTGCCAGCTCCGCAGGGGAATGGTTTCCTGAGCTTCCCCAAAGGCCCAGTCCTGTAGTCATAATTGAGATCTAGGCCCCTGGCTTTCAGCAGCTCTTCTGGCTGAAGAACCTGGGACCCCACTAGTCAGCATCTGGCAAGGAGAGCACAGACCATCCTGCCTGGTTTGTAGGGAAGGAAGAAGATGATGTGTGGCATAGCTTGGAGGGCTTCCTGGAAAAACAGGCCCTTCTAGATGTGCTGGCTGAGAGAAGGCTACCTGACCTTGCCCCGGGTTTTGATAGGGAAGGGCAGGAAGGGGTTGACATTTGAGATGTTTTGGGCTCTGTGGATGTCAGCACTGTGAGGGTGATGGGCAGGATGAGAGGTGGACCCTGGTGGCCTGTGTTCAAATCCCAGCTAGTAAGCTGTATGACCTTGGAAATGACTGTACCTCTCTGTTACCTCAGTTTCCACATCCATGCAATAGGAGCCGTAGCCCTACTCACCTACAGTGCAGGTGGGTGGATTTAGAGCCCACAGCGCCTGGCACACAGTGAGCGCTCAGTGGGTTTTGTGTATGGCGTCCTGCACCCCTCTCTCAGGCCCTGGGGCTGCAGGGAGCTCAGCCCAGCAGGATGGCTTGGGGGAGGAGGTTAATACTCCTGGTATCCGTTTCTGTCTAAGGGTGCCCCTGAGTGCCCTAATTCCTCCCTGGGAGGAGTCTCTGGAGACCACTAGAGAGGATGCATGGAACCCTGCCCCCAGCCTTCTGCAGGCCTGGGCCTCCTGCAGCCTGGCTGGGCCTGGGCCCCAGAGTCTGGGACACAGTGACAGGTATGAGTACGAGGGGTTCCCCTTCCTGGCTCAGCTCCTTCCAGAGGCAATCTTAGGACTGGCGGCATCTGCAAGGGCCCACTCTCACCTCTGACCTAAGCAGGACCCTTCCCCCCTGACTCTGGACCCATCAAGGGGCCAATGGGGGCTTCCTGGGTATAGTAAACTGGGGTGGGGGGCCCGACAAAGACTTTGGGACTCTTGCTTGCAAGTGATGGAAACTCAAACTGGCTTCAGCTGCCAGTGGCATTGCTTGTCCCATGCGATTCAGATATTTGGGAGTTGCTTGAGCTTCAGGCAGAGCTAGATCCAGGGTCTCGGGTGTTTTCAGGCCTCTCACCGGCTCCCCATGTTGGCTTCATTCTCAGCTGGGCTGTCTCATCAGGTGGCTGCCTGAAGCTCCAGGCCAGTAGCAGGGAGAGTGCCTGTTTTCCACGGGTCAGCAAAAGTCCCAAAGGATTCTCGCTGAGATGACTTTGGTCACATGTCCTTCCTAAACCCAGTCACTGGGGCTTGGGAGAGACTCTGCCGATGAGCCAGACCGGGGTCTGTGGCCCCTGAACCAGGAGACTGAGAGTGGGAGAGAGGACACAGTGCCTAGCAGACCCTTTCCCCCTGGACCCGGAGGGTGCGCCTTCTCTTCATAATAGGGCTGCTCCCTCTTCCCCCCGATTTATTGTGAGGCTTGGATGACAGTGAGGGACCCTGGGACTGCAGTCCCTCTGGGCAGAGGTGTCTGGAGTTCAGCCAGGAGGAGCAGAGTGAGGGTGAGGGAGGGACAGGAGGCAGGGCTTGGCTTGACCTAAGGTAGGACTGACGGCAGGAGTGCTCAGTGTGGGGAGGACGGCCTGGAGAGATGATGAGCTCCCTGCCACTGAGGTGTGCAAGCCGAGGCTGCAGGGTTATTTGGCGGAGACATGGCAGAGGAGCTCCTTCACCCAGGGCCTCAGGGGGCCCTCCCAGCTGCCAGCTGAGTCAGTGCCCGGCAGAACTAGCGACTGGACAGAGGGGCCTTGAGACCTTGCCTAGCGGAGAGGGCCTCTGGATCTTGTTTTGGGGGTGGCTCCTAGGGAGAAACTGGCCTGTGGATGTCTGATGGTGGGGTTTCCTGGCCATCTCTCCAGGAGTGATAAATGCAGGCTTTCTTCCCAGCCCTGCCTGGCCCTGCCCTGCTCAGGAGCTGGATAAGGTCCCTGGATGGGCCTAAGGGCCTGTGCCCAGTACTGGCATTTCCACCTCCTGTCCTTCCTGCTGTTGCCTGGGAAGTGGCCTAATTAGATCCCTGAGAGGAGGGTTTACAGGCCTGGGTTCCCACGGACCCTTGTAACTGGTTCCTCCCTCTGTGTGCCTGGCTCAGCGGGCTCTGTGCGCCTGGAAGGGCAGGTTGGCGGCGGGGGTGGGCCTGTGTGTGTCTGTGTCTGCGTGTGTGGTATGTGTGTATGTGTGTGTTTCTGTGTGTGTCTGTATGTTTGTGTTTCTCTGTGCATGTGTGTGTGTCTCTGTGTCTGTGTCTCTCTGTGTATGCCTGTGTCTATGTGTATATGCCTGTGTATCTGTGTGTGTGTGTCTGTGTCCATTTATGTGTGTGTCTGTGTGTGTGTGCATGCATGTCTGTGTGAGTCTGTGTGGCGTGTGTGTGTGTGTGTGTGTGGCTGTGTCTGTGTTGGTGTGTGTGTGTGTCTGTGTCCATTTCTGTGTGTGTCTGTGTGTGTGTGCATGCATGTCTGTGTGAGTCTGTGTGGGGTGTGTGTGTGTGTGTGTGGCTGTGTCTGTGTTGGTGTGTGTGTGTGTCTGTGTCCATTTATGTGTGTGTCTGTGTGTGTGTGCATGCATGTCTGTGTGAGTCTGTGTGGGGTGTGTGTGTGTGTGTGTGGCTGTGTCTGTGTTTGTGTGTGTGTCTGTGGTTTTGCCTGGGGGATGGAGCAGCCATGGGAGTTGCCATTTCTCAGTGTTTGGGGTTTCTCAACCTGGCAGCCCTGATGCACCGGCTTTGGCACCAAGCCCAAGGGACAGGCAGTGTTGTGTATTCTTGTAGCAGCAGTTCAATCCCGGGAGCTGCTGCTGCTAGAGGGAGCTCAGCGGGGAAGCCTCTCAGTTCGGCAAGACAGCCAGGCTGGGCCGGGCTGAGGATCACTGGTTTGGGAGCTGGCAGACCTGGGGTTAAATCCCAGCCTTGCTGCTAACCTGTGCCAGCTGTGTGATCTTAGACAAGCCGCTCTGCCTCTCTGGACTCAGACATATCCGTAAAGTGGCTGGAACGCCTTGGCCTTAACAGGCTATGAAGGTGGCAGTGGGTATGGTATGACAGTGTCGCTGCTGTTATGATTGCAAACAGATGTTTTAGGGGTGCCCTGGATTGGGGGCTTCTCAGGACAGGGGCCTTATCCTGTTTTTCAAACTCTATGGCACAGGCTGGCATTTATGGTTAGTACTGAAAAATACCTTTGGTAAGTTTAGACTTAGAGACTATAAACCAGTGGACTGGACCAGTCAGATTTTTAAAATTAGCTGCCCACATTTACAAATTGAAATTTCATGTAGAAATAGACCTGTAACTTGTCTGTGCACTCTGGGCACTTTGGCAGCCGGGGCCCAACCTCCACAGGGTTGCCCAGGTTAAACGGTGCCAAGGCTTGTAGATACCTGCCTGGCCAGGAGGGAGCCAGGCCCTGGGAAGACAGCCCCCCTCCACCCCTAAGTATGTGGTTTTACATTTTGCTCTGGGTTTGTGGGGACGTCGGGAGCTGGACCCGGCCCAGGGCTGTTCCCTTGACCCAGGCTCCTGCTGGGAATATGGCAGCTGCCCCCAGGCCTCACTCTCTGTCTTGGGGACTGCCTAGTATTAGGTAACTTTCTGTCTTTGGGAACTGGTAGCCCCAGGCAGAGGGAGCCCACCTGGCACACAGGCAGCACAGTGGGCCTGGTGTGTCATGCGCATGATTAAGAAGCCTTTTTGGAATAAGTGAATGAGCAAATGAACGAATGGTGTCAGGGAGAAGGGGCCATCTGGGTTGAGCATCGCCAGTCTGGGGTCTGCTCCCAACTTTGTCACAAAGGGTCCACTGTGTTCCCTCTCTGAGGCACAGGCTCCTTTTCAGTGAGGTGGGGCTTGCAAGCTTCTTACATTCTTGTCAGTGGGCCCTTTTTAGAGAACATGGTCTTACGTGGAAACTTAACATGCATGCAGGGGGGATCCTGCGGCATGGGGGTCTGAGACACAAGGCTCGCTAAATAGTGTGGTCTTCACATAAGGACCACTGACAGCGTGCAGGCACACTCCATGGACACGCTTGCCTGGCTTCCAGCAGAGGTGGCTTCTGTGGCTGCTGCTGGGACAGTTAGATAGCCACTTGCAAAAAGGAAATGAGCTTGATCCCTGCCTCACACCATACACAAAATTCATGGAGTTGGTTCAGAGACCCACCTGTGACAGTAAGACAGTCACCCCTAGAGCAGTGCTGCCCAGTAGAAGTTTCCAGATGTTCAGTAGAATAGCCATGAGCTGTGTGGCTGTTGAGCACCTGAAATATGACTGGTGTGACTGAGGGGCTGAATTTTTAATTTCATATTAATCAACTTTCATTTTAAAGAGCCGCATGTGGCTGGTGACTACTGTACCCCACAGAGCAGGTCTAGGAAACAAGGGGATGAGCTTTATGACCTAGGGGTATGCAGTGCTTTAAACAGGACTTAGAGTTACGTCCAGGTTAAGGCTGATAAATCAGACCCAGGCTGTGAGGCCTTGCCCTGCTGTCCCCAGACCAGCCTTCCCCTGACTTGGCCTTTCCCCATCAAATTTGCTTTGCTTTGTCTGTCTGCAGAGCTGAGGAGCCCTCGTGTCTGGTCAGCCTGGCCTGGATGCAAAGGAAGATGCCAGAAACGCAGTGACTGAGGCCTGGCCATGGAGCTGCAGGCCGAGGGGCCCCCTCCCCAGCCTTGCCTGCCAGACTCAGAGAGGCCAGAGGCCTAGGCCCACAGGGAGGGTTTCAGCACACAGATGCCCCCCAGACTGTGGAGTCTCCTGAGTGGGCTTCCGGGCAGGTGCGCCAGAGTGGGAGCATGCCTGCCAAGGGGCGTTACTTCCTCAACGAGGGTGAGGAGGGCCCGGACCAGAATGCCCTGTACGAGAAGTATCGTCTCACCAGCCAGCACGGGCCGCTGCTGCTCACGCTCCTGTTGGTGGCCATCGTGGCCTGCATTGCTCTCATCATCATTGCCTTTAGCGACGGGGTGAGTAAGGGCCACCCCCCTGGGCAGTGGGGGCTTCTCTGGGTTCGGATCTCAGTTCTGACGCTTGGTACTTGTGAGGCCTTGGGCAAGTCTTGGAGCCTTAGTTTCCACATCTGCTATGCTGGTGGAAGGCAGGTTTTTAACTTTAAATTTTGAAATCAGGAGTGGTTTTAGATACTACGTTAATTTGGCCAAATAAGTTACCCTCACTTTTCTCCACAATGGACTTCTATTCTATTGAAGACCATGGGCAGGCATGGCCTGCGCATCCCTGCTCCCACTTCTGATACCATGGCAGGCATCATGAATCAATCCCAGCACTCCTTTTCAGGACCCTGGCTGCTGTCTCAGAATTCTTGTGAACACAGCTGTCCAGTTGACACCGCTGACCTAGGCCCTGCCCTGCTATAGCCACTACTTACATGCAGCTGTTGAGCCCTTGAAATGTGGCTAGTATGGCTGAGGAACTGATTTTTATTTTATTTTTAATTAATGTAAACTTAATTTTGAATAGCCACATGTGGTGAGTGGCTACTGCATGAGCAGAGTCTTAGAGGAAAACAGGAGGGTGTGGCAGGGTGATATGTGTCAAGTGCCTGCTGGTGCTGCGTAAACCACAGGACATTTGTTTCAGCTTTCAGCCAATAGTTATTGAGTATCTACTGTGCGTAGGCACCCTGATTGGTCTCTGCGCTCATGGAGCTTAGGGGCTGCTGGGGGATGCCAGGTGCTGTCCCAGCTTTGAGCTGTCTTTCTTGCAAGCTCCTGGGTGTCACAGTCTGTACGTTGCTGCAGGGGACTGGGGAAGGGGTGTGCAGGCAGCCTTAGCAGAGACAACAGCACAGCCCAAGCCTGAAGGTAAGAAAGAACCTGGTGTTTAGAGGGAGCATAGACACCACCCGCGTGGAGGAAGCCTCGGGATGCTGCTCGGGGCAGGCTGGGCAAGCTGACCTGGCAGGCTTTCTGGAGGCTGCGGCGCCGCACTGGGGGAAGTCATGACATTTCTGTGTATGCTTTCCATGCCCAGGATCCCTCCAGACAGCAGGCTCTTCTGGGGACGGCGTTCTCGATGCTCGCCGTGTTCATGGTTCTCTACGTGCTGGTGTACGTCGAGTGCCTTGTTCGGCAGTGGCTCCGGGCCTCGGCCCTACTCATCTGGGTCTGCCTGGTGATACTGGGCTACGTGCTAGTGTTCGACTCATGGATGAAGGCGCCCTGTGCGTGGGAGCAGGTAATAAGCAGGGGCCCTGCTGCTCCTGAAGCTGGGCGCCACTATTCGGCCGCACCCCCTCTGGGCATCGGGTCCCTCTGGAGGCTGGACCGGCATTTGGTGTGTTGGTCCCGGCCCTTCCCCCACCCATGGCCATGGTTCTATGATTTAGAACAGGCCCTGGGCTGATCTTGTCCTGTCAGTTCTCTGCCCCAATGGGGTGGGATTGAGGTGAGAGGAGTGCTTGCTTGGCTGTCTGGCCATGGCTTTTCTGGGTGGACCCTCGTTGTGTGGGAAATAACACACCTCCAGCTCAGAAAGGCAAAAAGGCACCAGCTGGCTCATGTGCCGGGAAAGGCTGAGCGGTCCTTCCTGGAGCCCCAGCATGGTGGCCACATCCCCACTCTTCTGTGTTGCTCATTCACAGGCAGGCTGTCCCCAGGTCGGGGCAGACATGGCCTCAGTGCTGCCCACCAGCCTGCCCAGCCCAGCTAAGAGTGCCCTTTCTCAGCCAGCTTGAGTCACATCTGCCTGGCCTGGGTCACGGGCCCAGCCCTGGACAGTCACTGTCGCCAAGGGCTGGCACCCTCTTAGCAGTGGGCCTGGGTCCTGTGCTGCTCCTGGGCTGTGGGAGGTGGGACCTCAAGGCAGCTCTGCTGACTGGGAGATCCGGGAGCAGAGGGCGAGGTTCCCAGAGGGGCGGGTGCAGGGAGGTGGGTGGCAGCAGCCAGCTCTGAGAGCTGATGGGCGGGTGGGGCTACCCTGTACAGGTGGCAGGCCGGCAGGCCCTGCCCAGCCTTCTGGTCATTACGTTTTCTATGGAGGGAGAGCCGTGGACAGGGGGCAGCAAGCAGGAGCTCCTTGGGTCGTGTTTGGGGCCTGGGCCCACATCCTACATCAGCTCACAGGAAATGTGGGGAAAGCTGGCTGGTCGACCCAGGGCCAGGGTTGGATGTTTTCTTCTCTGTGGAATGTCCGTTGCTGGTCTCCCCATGTAGGGTAGGGAGGCAGGGGCACCTTCCTGAGGGCACAGGGCACCCAATGGCCTGGACCGGCTGCTGAGAGGCTCAGGATTCACGTTTCTGGGGCCACCCCCAGGAAATGAGAGGCTGTGCCCCAACACCAGCTCAGTCTGGGGCTGTGTCCTGCATGGGGGGTGGTGTGGCCGGGCCCCTGCACCTCACGATGTCATTTCCCCAGGTGCCCTTCTTCCTGTTCATTGTCTTTGTGGCGTACACACTGCTGCCCTTCAGCATGCAGGGGGCCATCGTGGCGGGGGTTGTCGCCAGCGCCTCCCACCTCCTGGTGCTCGGCACTCTGATGGGGGTCTTCTCGTCACCCAGCATCTGGATGGGGCTGCAGGTGAGGAGCTCAGAGGATCTGGGTGGGGCTGCAGGTGAAGGGCTCAGGGGGTCTGAGTGGGGCTGCAGGTGAAGGGCTCGGGGGTCTGGGTGGGGCTGCAGGTGAGGAGCTGGGGGGTCTGGGTGAGGCTGCAGGTGAAGGGCTCGGGGGTCTGGGTGGGGCTGCAGGTGAGGAGCTGGGGGGTCTGGGTGAGGCTGCAGGTGAAGGGCTCGGGGGTCTGGGTGGGGCTGCAGGTGAGGAGCTGGGGGGTCTGGGTGAGGCTGCAGGTGAAGGGCTCGGGGGTCTGGGTGGGGCTGCAGGTGAGGAGCTGGGGGGTCTGGGTGAGGCTGCAGGTGAAGGGCTCGGGGGTCTGGGTGGGGCTGCAGGTGAGGAGCTGGGGGGTCTGGGTGAGGCTGCAGGTGAAGGGCTCGGGGGTCTGGGTGGGGCTGCAGGTGAGGAGCTGGGGGGTCTGGGTGAGGCTGCAGGTGAAGGGCTCGGGGGTCTGGGTGGGGCTGCAGGTGAGGAGCTGGGGGGTCTGGGTGAGGCTGCAGGTGAAGGGCTCGGGGGTCTGGGTGGGGCTGCAGGTGAGGAGCTGGGGGGTCTGGGTGAGGCTGCAGGTGAAGGGCTCGGGGGTCTGGGTGGGGCTGCAGGTGAGGAGCTGGGGGGTCTGGGTGAGGCTGCAGGTGAAGGGCTCGGGGGTCTGGGTGGGGCTGCAGGTGAGGAGCTGGGGGGTCTGGGTGAGGCTGCAGGTGAAGGGCTCGGGGGTCTGGGTGGGGCTGCAGGTGAGGAGCTGGGGGGTCTGGGTGAGGCTGCAGGTGAAGGGCTCGGGGGTCTGGGTGGGGCTGCAGGTGAGGAGCTGGGGGGTCTGGGTGAGGCTGCAGGTGAAGGGCTCGGGGGTCTGGGTGGGGCTGCAGGTGAGGAGCTGGGGGGTCTGGGTGAGGCTGCAGGTGAAGGGCTCGGGGGTCTGGGTGGGGCTGCAGGTGAGGAGCTGGGGGGTCTGGGTGAGGCTGCAGGTGAAGGGCTCGGGGGTCTGGGTGGGGCTGCAGGTGAGGAGCTGGGGGGTCTGGGTGAGGCTGCAGGTGAAGGGCTCGGGGGTCTGGGTGGGGCTGCAGGTGAGGAGCTGGGGGGTCTGGGTGAGGCTGCAGGTGAAGGGCTCGGGGGTCTGGGTGGGGCTGCAGGTGAGGAGCTGGGGGGTCTGGGTGAGGCTGCAGGTGAAGGGCTCGGGGGTCTGGGTGGGGCTGCAGGTGAGGAGCTGGGGGGTCTGGGTGAGGCTGCAGGTGAAGGGCTCGGGGGTCTGGGTGGGGCTGCAGGTGAGGAGCTGGGGGGTCTGGGTGAGGCTGCAGGTGAAGGGCTCGGGGGTCTGGGTGGGGCTGCAGGTGAGGAGCTGGGGGGTCTGGGTGAGGCTGCAGGTGAAGGGCTCGGGGGTCTGGGTGGGGCTGCAGGTGAGGAGCTGGGGGGTCTGATTGGGGCTACAGGTGAGGAGCTCGGGTGGTCTGGGTGGGGCTGGAGTTTGGGCTGAGGGCAGCCAGGCCCGTGCTGGTGAGTTGGTTCCGAAGCCTTGGAGCTGTGTTTGCAGACCGCTGGCCTCAAGGGCAGGCTTTCTCAGGAAGCTGGATGCCCTGTGCTGATGCCTGGCCCTGTGGTCTTTGCTGCCTGTGGTACCCAAAGGCTCAGCTCCTCACTCAAGCCCTGGCCCTTGGGCCCCCTTCCTGGGTGAGGCCTGTTCCTGAGGTTTCACCCACAGGGCCCCATCCTGACAGAGCCAGGGGCACCCCTGAGCATTCTGTCTTGTGTCTTATGTTGAGTGAACAAAATTTATTCACACTTAGTGGTGACTTACTCATGTGTCTTCCTCTTGACTGGGTCTGGTGTCTGCTTGGGGGGTGGAGGCAGAGCTCTGGACAGCCAGGGGGATGCTGTGCCTTCTGTGACAGTCCTCGGTGCTCCCCAAGGGCTCTGGGCCTTGTGAGGTGCCATCCTGCTTCCCAGAAGTGACTGGCTTCCCTGGTCTCTTGGGTCCAGCCCTTCTGGACCAGGGAATGGCTGGTGGATGCTGAGATGAGCCCGAGCCCTGGTCCTGTAGTCATAGCAACTCCTTAGGAGACCAGTCTCTGTTTTGGGCCTCAGTTTCCCTGCCTGCCCCAGGAAGGGTGCAGCCTGAGTGAACTGAATGAGCAGGGGTGCCATTACCAGCTCATCAAGGAGGACAGTGCCCCAGGGGCAGACTAGGCCAAACCCTGAGCCTGCATCCACCTGCCCTCAGCTGCTGGCCAATGCTGTCATCTTCCTGTGTGGGAACCTGACGGGTGCCTTCCACAAGCACCAGATGCAGGACGCCTCCCACGACCTCTTCACCTATACTGTGAAGTGCATCCAGATCCGCAGGAAGCTGCGCATCGAGAAGCGCCAGCAGGTGGGGTTCCTACCTCCCCCTGGAGCCCCAGCCTGGCCCCAGCCCGGCCCCAGCCTGGCCTGCCCTAGCCGGCTCCCAGGTCCCACGCCCAGTGTCCTTTCTCTGGACATCAGGCGCCCCTAGAGTGGCGTGTGAATGGGGTGCTTGGCCGGACACCCATGCAAGCATAACCCCGGGGACTACTGTGGACACGGGAGGATGTGTGCGCAGCTGGGTTGGTGGCAGGACGTAGGCCAGCAGAGGTGGAGGGTGTGATGGGCAGAGCAGAAAGAAGAGATGTGTAGGTTAAGCCTGGGACCTGATGTCCCCCTGCCTGTCCCTGTGCCTATCCCCCTGGTACCCAGGAGAACCTACTGCTATCAGTGCTCCCAGCTCACATCTCCATGGGCATGAAGTTGACCATAATTGAACGACTTAAGGAATGTGGGGACCGTCGCTACATGCCTGACAACAACTTCCACAGCCTCTACGTCAAGCGACACCAGAATGTCAGGTGGGCGGGCTGCTGGGCCTGTGCGCGTGGTGTCTCCCAGGGAGGCCTCCCTGCCTCTTGTCTGGCTGTGGCAGCCCAGTACTCAGACTTTAGAGCTGGGAGGTCTGGTACAAATGTCAGCCAGGCTTCCCAGGCAGTTTTCATCTCCCTGAGCCTCAGTTTGCTCATCTGTAGAACGGGAGTCCTATAAGGATAGGATGGGGTCACATCTTAGGAGGGGCTTCAGTTCTGAAGTCTGTGCAAAGGTGAAAATCCACGTGTAGGGAAGGAGAAGGAAGTCCCCAGGTGCCAGAGCACCCGGCTGTAAGAGCACCATTCTGTCACCTGCAGCGGGGCTGGGCTGGGGTGGGGTCTGAGGGGCCCCTGCATACTCTGGGGTTTGCTCTAATGTGAAGCCTCTGGGATTTCACTTCAGCTTTATGGCTGGAGCTTCTCTTCCATCTCTGTGGAGGCTGTTGAGTAGCAGGGATGACAGGGCCTCTGGCTGGTCCCCATGTCCCTGCAGTCCCATCTTCCATGGGGCTGGCTCTGACCCTCCCACTGGCCCCACCCCACCCCCAGCATTCTCTACGCTGACATTGTGGGCTTCACTCGGCTGGCCAGCGACTGCTCCCCCAAAGAGCTGGTGGTGATGCTGAACGAGCTCTTCGGAAAGTTTGACCAGATCGCCAAGGTAAGCCCTCTGGCCTGTGCCACCCTCCCCTCCGCTGATGGGAAAGTCAGGAGCCCCTTCTTGTCCCATCCACAGTGTCCTGTGCCCAGTGCTGTGGTGAGATGGGTGCGGGAGGCCTTGGCTGAATTTTCACCTTCAGTCAGCAAATGCTTTCGAGCACCTCATGGTAGAAGTGGAGGTTGAGTGGTGGCCAAGGCTGCTAGAATTCTGCCCCTCAGAATGTGAGGCCGGTGGGGTGACTGACAGTATATAGCGGGGGGATGCACAGGGGCTCGGGAGCTAAGACAGGGGCTCTGGAAGGCTGCCTGGAGGAGGAGATGGCTCCATCTTCACTATACAAGGCTGGCAGCCTTGGCCTCACCTGGGAGTTTGGGAGGACTGGGAGGACTGGAATGCCAGGCCTATTCAAATCTGCCTTTTGACAATATCCCAGGTGAATCATGTGTATGTTAAAGTTTGAGAAACCAAAAAAGAGACCTGAAGAGGACAGGGAACAGTGATTTGGGCAGAGGGAACAGCATATGTGAAAGCTTGGAGTAGAAAGTTCTGTGTACCCATGGGAGGAAAGTGGCTCTGTGTGAATGGGACAGTGTGAAGGGGTCAAGATCATGGGGTTAGACATGCAAGGACTGGAGGGCTGAGGTGAGGAGTGGGACTTGACCTAGGGCCCTGGAGAGCATAGCATGTGCCAAGCAGGAGAGGTCATTGGGCAAAGAGTGTCTCCAGGATACAGCTGGTGGGAGAGAGGTCTGGAGACCAGATCGCACTGAACTGGGATTTCACTGTCTTGTCTATGTGAGCAGAACCAGCCCAGGGGGTACATGTGTTTAGAGGGAGGAGCCTCAGTATTTATTAATGTGTATAATGGCCCCAAGCCCTGCTGAGTGGCAGCCCTGAGCTTGTATGCGGCCTGGGGCTTGTCAAGTTGTTCCTGGCCTACATGCCACGTGGTTTGGAGAGGGCTGCAGGGGGGTAGGACTGGGGAACGCCGAGCCCAGACTCAGGTGGTCAAGGCAGCTTTCCTGGAAGGGGTGGCCAGGAAGTAGAGACCCAAATGTAAGATTTACGGCAGGGTCCTCTCTATCCTGGCTACATATTTGAATCATGTGGAAAGCTTAAAGCAATACCCATGTCCACAGCCATGAGTTTTTAAGAGCCTCCCAGGTGACTTCATGTACAGAGAACCAACAGTCTAGAACTTGGTGGGAGGCAGCCCCATTTTACAGGTGGGGACAGGAAGGCTGTGGCAGGGGCCAGCCTCCTAGTTGAGCAATGGGCAGAGTCAGACAGGGCTGGCCCAGCCTTCTGTCCTGCCTTCTGGAAGCAGCTTCCAGAACTATGACTCCTGAGAGAGAGGGCCTGCTCACTGCAGCGTCACATTGCATCTGGGCTCAGGCACCCACTGCCCCCAACACGCTCACACGACTTCCCCGTTTGTGTCAGAGACGGCGGGCCTGTCAGCCGGCTGCAGGAGCAGCTGCGTCTGTGGAGGTCTGTGAATCCCTGACAGTGGGCTGGGTCCAGAGGGCAGGCCTGTGCCTGGCCCCAGGCGAGGGGAGGGCGGCTGGAGCCCTGACCTGTGTCAGCTGTCTGGGCCCTCTCCAGACTTCTTGCGACTTTCTAGGAAAGCCACTGTCCTTGTGTCCCCCGGCCAGGCCAGCTCTAAATGGAAGCAGCTGGCCCACACTCGCACTGGGTCATCTGGAGGACGTTTAGAAAAGGGACTGTTCAGGAAGGCAGGGCAGGTACAGGGGCCCGACGAGGGAGCTGCCCTGCCTGGTCACTGACAATGGGCTGCCGCACCCAGGCCTGGCAGGCACGGGTGGGAGCAGGCACTAGACTTGGAGAGAGAGGCTTCCTTGGTGCCAGGAGGTAGCCAGCCCTTTGGGACCATGAAGGAGTCAGCCCACCAGCCCCGCCCCCCCAACCCACCAGAAGTCAGGGGCAAGGCTGCTTGCTGAGGCCTCCATAGGGGGTTGGGGAGGGGAGGGGGGCCAGCATGTAGCTCCTCCTTCACGTTCCCCGAAACCCCACCCCAAGGCCTTGGTGCATGTGGCCACCTTTGCTGAGGGCTTACGGAGGGTGTAGTGGCCACAGAAGCACCTCAGATGGAACCTCAGACAGCTGGCCTGGGCCTCCTCTCCCCCCCAAAGGCATTTTCCTGTGTGATTCCAGCCTCCGTCACCCCACATTTCCTCTCTGCTCTCCCCACACCTCAAACCCTGCAGCCCTAGCAATACAGCCATTTCTTGACTTTGACACCTGCTGGCCCCTTAGCTTGTGCCACCTCTCTGTCTTTATCTCCCCTGCTCCATCCACTTCAGCCATACTGACTGCTGTGCTGCGTCAGCTTTCTGGCCTCAGGGCCTTTGTGCATGCCACTTCTTCTGTAGCCTGGAATTCTTCCTCCAGACACTAGTGTGGCTTGCTCCCTCGGTTTCTTAGGTCTTTGCTGGAACATTTCTTCTCTGAAAGGCGCTTTCTGGCCTCCTGGGAACTTCCTCTCTCCTCCCAATGCTCCATTTTTCTCCTTAGTGCTTATTACTGTTGAGTGTGTAAGATTTTATCTAGTGTAGTGTCCACTCCTGCACCAGTGTGTAAACTCCACACAGTAGGGATTTTTGTCTTTGTTCACTGCTGTGCCCCAGTGCCTGGTCAGGGCACTCAGTAGGTGCTCAAACATTGCATGGATGAATGAAACAAAGGGAGCGCCTCCTCCAGGGGCATTCAGGTGACCACCCTTAGTAACACTTGTTTTCGCCACCAATGCTTGGAGTCCCCCCTGGAGAGCCCATGTCCCCAGTTCTTTCACCAGGCCCAGAAGCAGCTATTGGTGGCTGGTACCCCAGGAGAAAGCCCCTAACCGGGACAGAGCCTGGTTTACCGTGAAGGGTGTGGGGGAGGTGGCTTGCTGGGTGTGACGCTGGTCCCCTGCTGACCAGCCTCTCCCTTGGCCCACAGGCCAATGAGTGCATGCGCATCAAGATCCTGGGTGACTGCTACTACTGTGTGTCGGGCTTGCCCGTGTCCCTGCCCACCCATGCCCGGAACTGCGTGAAGATGGGGCTGGACATGTGTGAGGCCATTAAGTAGGTACCATGGGCAGGTCTGGGGCACTGGGGCCTGTCCTTACAATGGGCCCCTTCTGCTCCCCAGGGGAATACATTGTCCCCACTTTTCAGATGAGGAAACTGAGGCTCAGGTGCAGGCAGCTATCCTGGATCACTCAGCCGTCTGTTTTGGGTCCCTCCCACTGGGCCTCTGAGTGCCAGGCTCTCAGAGCGGGGATGGGGGTGTGGGGGCAGCTGGCTCCCTTCCTCTGAGGACAGGCTCACAGCAGCAGGAGGTGATCTCAGCCCCGCCAGGCTGAGAACACTCTCCCGTGAGCTGGGCCGGCCGTGTTCCTGCCCCTCCCGACTCTGCCCCACCCGTGCCATACCCCATGGGGGACCCCGGGCCTGCCCTAGGGCCGAGGGCCCCACAGCAGCCCTGGCTGGGGCGAGGTGACCCGGTTGCTGTCCCCAGGCAGGTGCGGGAGGCCACGGGCGTGGACATCAGCATGCGCGTGGGCATACACTCGGGGAACGTGCTGTGTGGCGTCATTGGGCTGCGCAAGTGGCAGTACGACGTGTGGTCCCATGACGTGTCCCTCGCCAACAGGATGGAGGCGGCCGGAGTCCCCGGGTGAGAAGCAGCCGGACTCGGGGCTCAGAGGCCAGGCGCCGGCTCTGGGCTGGAGCGTCGGGGGCCAGAGGGTCAGAGCCCGCGCAGTGCGGGGAGCGCCGGGGCTCGTCCTCGGGGGGGCGCCCGCCCTCTCTGGGCTGCGGTACCTGACCTGGGTCTTCCGCAGCCGTGTGCATATCACAGAGGCCACGCTGAAGCACCTGGACAAGGCGTATGAGGTGGAGGACGGGCACGGGCAGCAGCGGGACCCCTACCTGAAGGAGATGAACATCCGCACCTACCTGGTCATCGACCCCCGGGTACGAGGGCTCAGGTGCGGGGGCGGGGCCGGCCTGCCTGGGGTGGGAGTGAGCTCCCCGTCCCTGGGTATGGTCTAGGCCCCAAGTACCAACCCCCTGGGCCTTAGTGTTCTTTTCTGTGAAACGGAGTAACAGCGGTGCCTGCCTCGCGAGGAGAAAGCGCTAATCCGGGCGTGTCACAAACACCCTGGAGATAAGTCACTGGGAGTTTATTTTCCACGTGGTTGTCGCTAATCTCCCGGATTTTCAAAAGACATATTTTAAAAGCACACTTTGGATGAGACTCAGGAAAGCAGGGAATGGCCGGGGGCCGCCGGGCCACGGGCCGGGCCTTCATGTGTCCTGGACTCTGACCGGCAGTGTCGGCCCGGTCAGCGATGCCCCCGCTCTCCTCAGGACCCTGTGGTGGGGGCCCTTGGGCTGCTGCCAGCCCGCCCCCGCCCGCTGCACAGGCCATTCTTCCGCCCCCGAAGGCACTCGTCCTGTAGCTGCTTGTGAATCATCCTTGGGACTTGTTCAAGAATGTCGGCCACGCAGGCCGAGCTCCCTTTCGCTCTGGCCTTGGCCGTCCTCGCACTGGCCCGACTGCCTGAGAGCC